TATTTTGGTGCATAAATTATTGATAAGTAATGACAGTTCTGGGAAAATTCTATAACCCAGACAGGTAACTGGAGGATTAATATCACTGCACAATGAATGACTTGGAATTCACTGTAGGTGGTATTCTTAGGAACATGTGTATGTTCAAGGAGGATGTTGAAAAACTTCCAGATGTGCTGAGATAATGATGTATTCCTGAAAATGGAGGCATAAGATAGTGTTCGGGATATGATGTTCAGACATAGAGATCTGTTTATAAGTATGAAACAAATATGATAGAATGAGTTTGACGGAATGGGACCGAAAGGACTGACGTTTTTCCTAATCATATATGTACAGATGTGCCGAGAATCTCCATCTTGTTTCCTGTCTTACAGAAAGTTGAGAGGTGAGCTGATTTGAGTTTATTTTAGAATAAACTACAGCTGAATTATGAGTACATCATTTTATGTTTTTCCCGTCTATCGTTAATCGCCCTGAGGACGTCCTCATATGATTTAAAAACCGAACTGAGCTGGAGCTATGTTGCTCGCATTGATTGATAGGTCTCTAAAACTTACTGCCAGAGAACTTTCTATTGGAACCCTTTGATGATGATTTCAAACGGAGTATCTATGCAACTCAATTGAGATAATATAGCAACTATTAAAAAATGAAGACCGATAGATTACTTAAGAAGTTTAGAAAGCTTGAAATCATGTTTTCCTGCTAGAATGAGTCTGAAAAGTAGCTCGTACTTTTTATTGTTTATATAATTAGAGAACCGATCATGTTGCAGTTCTCTTCATGCCATCGAACAGTTATGAATAGAGAAATTGTTGGACAATGGGTTTGTTTATGTGCATCAGCATCGGACCAAATGGTTTTGTGAATTACTTGACCTCACGCTAGATTTAAATCGCTACTGATGTGGGCCTGAGGCTTAATGTTAGATTTCATTTCAAGGCGTTCGGTTATTTTAATAATGTCATCTGAACCGGACGAATTTACTTATGACAAACTACTTGCTTTTGCATCGAGGTACAACAGACGCTTACAACAGGATAAACTTAGTCGACTACCATTTTTGGACAGCGCAACCGGAATAGCTCAAAGACCGTGCTTACTTTACCGCAACCAAAGAGAAAGAGAGGGAGGTAAGTAACTTCACACAACTAGTGAACCTGTAGGCTACCTAACTCAAGTGTATCGATATCGTTCCCACAGATGGAAGAAAAGCAAACGAACTGGTCAACTCCCTTCTTTCCTGTATCATGGCGATTTGTTAAATGGGGTTGCTAAAGTTGGTAAGTTTCTAATTCTATTTTACTCTTAGACCGTCCCAATATTGTCTCAGGATTAGATTCGTGTTCTAAGGATGCGGATGATGATAGTCGTAGTACTTGGGCTGCCTGCCCAGAATACGATATGGATTCTGATGCAAGTGATTTCGCAGATGAGAATTTCGGAGTTCGCAGACGTCGAAAAAAAGGTCGGGTAAGTACGGTTTGATATTCAGAGGCCTCGGTGTGTTCCAACTACTCGTCATTATCGACTTAATATGTTTGTCTTGTCCGTAGTCAACATAAACTTCCAATGTAATTCAATGTGCTCGGATAATTTGATAACCACTAGGTGATAGCTGATCATAATAGACATTAAAAGAGTTAAAAAAGCAACACATCAGCATAATGCATTTAGTAGTCCAAACAATAATATTTCTGGATATATATAACCTAAAATTCGGACACGATTGACAATACTTTCACGATTATCACCCAAATGAGCGAAAAGGATGATCAAATTTCAGTCTCTACAATTTTTGGTAGGGTATTAAACGGGTTTACCATCCAGATTTCATTTTCAATAGTTTGGTATGCGTATTATTTCGGCGTCATATAATACATTTCCAATACAATCGTTTTTTTGGGGGGGTTATTTTTTTCATCTGCCCCATTAACCTTACAATCCAATTTTTAGGTTAATTGTATCTTTGGTTGGGTAATATTGAAATATTTGTAAAACTTGAGTACAGTGTAAATTTTTTATCTTTATTATCTTTCTTCAAACCTCAACTAGGACACTATGTAAAACTTTTGTTTCGTGAATTCTTTGTATTCCGTTTTCGTTTTGTACTGAACTAGCTTGACTGGTCAATAAGGAAAATTTTCTAGTTCATGAAAGATCCCACTAAATACAGATTGGATAGGAATTAAATTCAAGCGTTAGTGGTTTACAACAATCTTTATCTTAGAATTGTTTGACGTAAAATGAGTTGTAGCCGTGTTTAATTTTGTGTTAAGCGTTTTGTGCGCATTTGACAACGTTACCAAGTAATGCTTTTAATTGGCTGATTGTCTTGTTATTAGATATCACTTCAGCTTGGTAATTTTGCGTAATTAAAATGGTTCATATCAGTCAGTTATCTATATATTTTGTTGTTCATCATACGTCCACTGAATAACTACTCATTGGACTCAACATTCAGACAAACTTAACTTGTATATGTAGTGTTGGTTTGATAAAAATAAGTCCAATATTAGCTGTATATTGTTTTTTAGACTCCACGCATCAGCAGATCTAACCATTCTGGACCTGGTCGGCGACGTTCCAATTATACTGCATTCGATGATGACTCGAATGAACGCCAGACATCTTTACCAGTATTTTTGTGTGAATTTTGTGGCGTAAAATACAGATCTAGAGCCGGGCTAAACTACCACATTAATTCACAGCATTCGGAGGTACGTGTATTTACTTCCATTACAAATGTTTATTAATATTTTAACTCCATCGTCTTTCTCGTAAACATTCTACATGAATATTTCATATTTAGCTCTTAAATTTATCATTTTGTATCAGCCTCAAAGTCAAAAATGACAACAACTGTTCATACGCCATTCGTTTCGTCAGGATCCTGGAGCTCATGTGCACCACTGTTTTAGAATGAGGGTTTTCCAACTCTCAGTGGATCCTCCTTACCCACCAACTCAGTTAAAGCGCCAGACATCCGCTTCTAGTCCTCTCAATTTCATAAACAACACCCATGGTACAAGGAGGCAGTGAGTACTTACATGAGTTCGTTGCAATATCACAGCACAGAGACGCAACTGTCAATTCAAATCCCATAGCAGTAGATGTAGTAGAAGTAGTAGGAGTAATAGAGATCAAGGCCTGAAGAAATTATTCAAGAAGTATAATCCAGTGAAATAAATTTAAGGAAGGAAAGATAAAGGTGATGAGGAATTCAAACGATTAGTATTTGAAAGATAAAGAATGGATGCACCTGCACCACTGCAAACGATTTTGAGCCATGTCATTCAAGGTGTCTTACCATCGGTTACTATTGTCTCGCGGACCCCAACCTGGTAGTCTAAACCTACCAAGGTTGTTCAGTCCAGTTGTCAGTAGGCTGTCGATGGTTGGGTATACATAACACCTGTCTCGACCATCAGATAACGCAACTGAAAACAATCACAGCCAAAAATAGCATAAACAAGTATTTTAGTTTCGTCTGTCACAGGTATACTTCTGGAGTTAGCTCTCTCAATATCAAACCTCAACAGCATGTACATTAAGCCTAGATTGACTCCTCACTGCACCTAGGGAACTGAATGTTAGCCCTCTCAGTAGTGCCTCACTGTGCTGACGCTATTGCCACCGACGCTACATACTCCACACTCAAACATCCAATTTTGTCTTGATCTGAAGTACTCGAAGAAGCCACATTAGTAACAACAGCCGAAGAAACTGCGAAAAACTATTCATTTTGTTCAAAGGTGACATCAAAGGAATTAAGTGGTGACAAAGTCGAGATTGACTATGATCACCACTAAATACTATTTACTATCTCGTCACTAAAATCAGAAATAAATCCAAGGCAAAGAAAATACTTGAAGGAGAAATTGGGGATACAGTGAGCAGCAATTTATGAAGGATGTCGGTAACGCGAAAAGAGAACGTTGCGCGCAAGTGTTTTTGGTACAGTTAAACAAAGGGAGTACAATAATAAATGTTTATTTTTCACCGTTCGCGTTTCCTTAGTATAAGTGTTCAACTACACTTTGAAGATCGACAACGATTATGGTGATAGGGCAGGTTAACTTATCTTCATAATGCATAGGCAAACAAAAGATTTCAATATCCTATTTTGGTGCATAAATTATTGATAAGTAATGACAGTTCTGGGAAAATTCTATAACCCAGACAGGTAACTGGAGGATTAATATCACTGCACAATGAATGACTTGGAATTCACTGTAGGTGGTATTCTTAGGAACATGTGTATGTTCAAGGAGGATGTTGAAAAACTTCCAGATGTGCTGAGATAATGATGTATTCCTGAAAATGGAGGCATAAGATAGTGTTCGGGATATGATGTTCAGACATAGAGATCTGTTTATAAGTATGAAACAAATATGATAGAATGAGTTTGACGGAATGGGACCGAAAGGACTGACGTTTTTCCTAATCATATATGTACAGATGTGCCGAGAATCTCCATCTTGTTTCCTGTCTTACAGAAAGTTGAGAGGTGAGCTGATTTGAGTTTATTTTAGAATAAACTACAGCTGAATTATGAGTACATCATTTTATGTTTTTCCCGTCTATCGTTAATCGCCCTGAGGACGTCCTCATATGATTTAAAAACCGAACTGAGCTGGAGCTATGTTGCTCGCATTGATTGATAGGTCTCTAAAACTTACTGCCAGAGAACTTTCTATTGGAACCCTTTGATGATGATTTCAAACGGAGTATCTATGCAACTCAATTGAGATAATATAGCAACTATTAAAAAATGAAGACCGATAGATTACTTAAGAAGTTTAGAAAGCTTGAAATCATGTTTTCCTGCTAGAATGAGTCTGAAAAGTAGCTCGTACTTTTTATTGTTTATATAATTAGAGAACCGATCATGTTGCAGTTCTCTTCATGCCATCGAACAGTTATGAATAGAGAAATTGTTGGACAATGGGTTTGTTTATGTGCATCAGCATCGGACCAAATGGTTTTGTGAATTACTTGACCTCACGCTAGATTTAAATCGCTACTGATGTGGGCCTGAGGCTTAATGTTAGATTTCATTTCAAGGCGTTCGGTTATTTTAATAATGTCATCTGAACCGGACGAATTTACTTATGACAAACTACTTGCTTTTGCATCGAGGTACAACAGACGCTTACAACAGGATAAACTTAGTCGACTACCATTTTTGGACAGCGCAACCGGAATAGCTCAAAGACCGTGCTTACTTTACCGCAACCAAAGAGAAAGAGAGGGAGGTAAGTAACTTCACACAACTAGTGAACCTGTAGGCTACCTAACTCAAGTGTATCGATATCGTTCCCACAGATGGAAGAAAAGCAAACGAACTGGTCAACTCCCTTCTTTCCTGTATCATGGCGATTTGTTAAATGGGGTTGCTAAAGTTGGTAAGTTTCTAATTCTATTTTACTCTTAGACCGTCCCAATATTGTCTCAGGATTAGATTCGTGTTCTAAGGATGCGGATGATGATAGTCGTAGTACTTGGGCTGCCTGCCCAGAATACGATATGGATTCTGATGCAAGTGATTTCGCAGATGAGAATTTCGGAGTTCGCAGACGTCGAAAAAAAGGTCGGGTAAGTACGGTTTGATATTCAGAGGCCTCGGTGTGTTCCAACTACTCGTCATTATCGACTTAATATGTTTGTCTTGTCCGTAGTCAACATAAACTTCCAATGTAATTCAATGTGCTCGGATAATTTGATAACCACTAGGTGATAGCTGATCATAATAGACATTAAAAGAGTTAAAAAAGCAACACATCAGCATAATGCATTTAGTAGTCCAAACAATAATATTTCTGGATATATATAACCTAAAATTCGGACACGATTGACAATACTTTCACGATTATCACCCAAATGAGCGAAAAGGATGATCAAATTTCAGTCTCTACAATTTTTGGTAGGGTATTAAACGGGTTTACCATCCAGATTTCATTTTCAATAGTTTGGTATGCGTATTATTTCGGCGTCATATAATACATTTCCAATACAATCGTTTTTTGGGGGGGTTATTTTTTCATCTGCCCCATTAACCTTACAATCCAATTTTTAGGTTAATTGTATCTTTGGTTGGGTAATATTGAAATATTTGTAAAACTTGAGTACAGTGTAAATTTTTTATCTTTATTATCTTTCTTCAAACCTCAACTAGGACACTATGTAAAACTTTTGTTTCGTGAATTCTTTGTATTCCGTTTTCGTTTTGTACTGAACTAGCTTGACTGGTCAATAAGGAAAATTTTCTAGTTCATGAAAGATCCCACTAAATACAGATTGGATAGGAATTAAATTCAAGCGTTAGTGGTTTACAACAATCTTTATCTTAGAATTGTTTGACGTAAAATGAGTTGTAGCCGTGTTTAATTTTGTGTTAAGCGTTTTGTGCGCATTTGACAACGTTACCAAGTAATGCTTTTAATTGGCTGATTGTCTTGTTATTAGATATCACTTCAGCTTGGTAATTTTGCGTAATTAAAATGGTTCATATCAGTCAGTTATCTATATATTTTGTTGTTCATCATACGTCCACTGAATAACTACTCATTGGACTCAACATTCAGACAAACTTAACTTGTATATGTAGTGTTGGTTTGATAAAAATAAGTCCAATATTAGCTGTATATTGTTTTTTAGACTCCACGCATCAGCAGATCTAACCATTCTGGACCTGGTCGGCGACGTTCCAATTATACTGCATTCGATGATGACTCGAATGAACGCCAGACATCTTTACCAGTATTTTTGTGTGAATTTTGTGGCGTAAAATACAGATCTAGAGCCGGGCTAAACTACCACATTAATTCACAGCATTCGGAGGTACGTGTATTTACTTCCATTACAAATGTTTATTAATATTTTAACTCCATCGTCTTTCTCGTAAACATTCTACATGAATATTTCATATTTAGCTCTTAAATTTATCATTTTGTATCAGCCTCAAAGTCAAAAATGACAACAACTGTTCATACGCCATTCGTTTCGTCAGGATCCTGGAGCTCATGTGCACCACTGTTTTAGAATGAGGGTTTTCCAACTCTCAGTGGATCCTCCTTACCCACCAACTCAGTTAAAGCGCCAGACATCCGCTTCTAGTCCTCTCAATTTCATAAACAACACCCATGGTACAAGGAGGCAGTGAGTACTTACATGAGTTCGTTGCAATATCACAGCACAGAGACGCAACTGTCAATTCAAATCCCATAGCAGTAGATGTAGTAGAAGTAGTAGGAGTAATAGAGATCAAGGCCTGAAGAAATTATTCAAGAAGTATAATCCAGTGAAATAAATTTAAGGAAGGAAAGATAAAGGTGATGAGGAATTCAAACGATTAGTATTTGAAAGATAAAGAATGGATGCACCTGCACCACTGCAAACGATTTTGAGCCATGTCATTCAAGGTGTCTTACCATCGGTTACTATTGTCTCGCGGACCCCAACCTGGTAGTCTAAACCTACCAAGGTTGTTCAGTCCAGTTGTCAGTAGGCTGTCGATGGTTGGGTATACATAACACCTGTCTCGACCATCAGATAACGCAACTGAAAACAATCACAGCCAAAAATAGCATAAACAAGTATTTTAGTTTCGTCTGTCACAGGTATACTTCTGGAGTTAGCTCTCTCAATATCAAACCTCAACAACTAATAACCTAATTGCACACCCCGGACTTGGAATATGCATACGCGTTTGATTATGTAAGGATGGTGCAAATACTCAATTTTTTCTCTGAATTTAATTTGAAAAGTCACCTGGTCGCCCTAAACAACAATACAAGTGCACTTATTTCGTCCTACTCTAAAATTTTGCTCCGAGATTGATCTGTACCAATCCTCATTCTAACAGCTGGAATTACTTTGAGTTCGTTAACCGATTTGTAATCCATACGAGATGCATCTGTCTATTAACACGAATATAATACGTAGCAGTTTTATAGCTATACCCAACCACCAGGAACAAAAACTGGCTGAACAATAAAAGTTTAGAGAAGACCTTTTCGAAGCATAAGGATGGTTTTATGTCGATGTCTAGATGGTAGAAATAATTCGTACTCTTAATATATTTGTTTGGCTTACTTCTGATGCATGATGTCGCCCAAATTGTAATCAAAATTATCTTCATGTTTATTTCGAGTGAACAGTCCCTATGTTTCATGTTAATTGTATTTTTTAAACATTTGCTAGGTAGATATAGACACAAGTTATTTTTTTAACTTATGATTGAGTTTGTTACATGTTCTTTGTGTAGTATTCCTCGACCACTGCACTACCCAATGTTTTCTAATGCTAGTGTCATTGCTACTTCTACTACTGTGAAATTTGTATTTTTAGTTTCATCTCGCTGTAGAAATGTGGTGTGGTAATTTAAGCTGATATGCCAAGTTTTAAATTGTTTACGACTGAGTTCACTTCGATCAGTTGGGGACAGGTTATGCTCCGAGAATCAAAAACAATGAGTTTACACTGACAAAAGTACGAGTCTATGGAATCTACATCCTTTCTCTTAGTCTTTCTACCACCTCTTTGACCAGATATGTAGAATCTGTTGTTGAGATCCATTTGTAGCAGGTGGACTCTTAGTAGTACAAATTGGTTGCATTTCCACTCGGCTGATATGCGTGATCTCGCAACGTGTTTGATTGTTTTTTCTGACTAACCTGGAAATGTCAAATCACTGTTCCAGTTTTATAACTAGAGGCATCAGACACGACAATGATTCACAAGCTAAGATGGAAGTGTTTAAAGAAGATTTAAAGTAAACGCTAACCTGATTGTGTCAAAGATAGCTAACATTCTACTGACTACTTGGATGGTTTGTCTTTCGTTAAAATTTCATCCAACAAGCGTTTTGATACATTTTAGGGAGAAACTTGTAATGACTAATTCGTCCCAAGAACGATCGACTTAACTTTCTCAATGGCTTATATATTAGCCTTATTTGGTCGTTAACTGATCTTATCCAATATGAACTTCGAGGTATATAGTAGAGTAGATGAGAAAGATACACTTTGCCCAACAGGTAAAACTCATACTTCATTTAATGTAGAACTTGGTTCATTTTCGATGTACTCCATCATGATGTAATATAGGTGTGATACTGTCTCAAACGTACCTGTTAACGCCGTATTCATTAGTTGCCGGAGGATAAAACGTGAAGTCTTAGTGCCAAACGATAAGTGTTTATATTGAAATAACCCTTGGTGAATGTTAATAGTCAAAAGTTTTGTAGGACTTTCAGTTACATCCACTCGAAAATAGGCCACAGAAACGTCTATTTTCATGAGATACGTACCGCCAAACAGTTCTTCAAATCTGGTAACGGATACTAGTATGTGTCCAATGTAATATTTAGACCAGTTGAGAGATTAGTGTACATGTGTATAACTTCACTATCCTTCTCAGTTGTCATAATTGGTGCGGTTTACAAAAAGTGAGTGACTGGTTGGACTATACCAGCCTGTTACAATTGGTTAAGTTCTTAATCAACTAGTTCAATGTTTTGCATCTGGTAATACTAATAGATAATTTGTCATCGTCGTACACTGATCTACGCCACCATGAAAAACAGGAGCAAGCTTTCTACGCAGACATTTCACCTGTGTTCGTTGATAATAGGTGGATATCTATCGGTAACTATAATTGTTTACAAATATGATCGAGGGAGTATCCAATAATTCAAGATTTTCCACCAGTTTTGGACCAAGAAAATGAAACTTTGAATGGTCAATTATGTCAACTTATCGCATTAAAACTAAGTCAATCAAAATAAAATCCGAATTATAATTTACTAACACGTTTCAAAATACCATCAGTAGAGTTTTGAGTACTTTTTTTCAGATATCTTTATTGTTAGTTTGCTAAGTAGGTCATACGGTTTTCTGAATGTGACAGCGATATCTCACGGAGTATCAATTAAGAGGGACTAATTTAATGTTAATTAGGAACTTAATATACTTTTCCGAATATCTTAATGTATTTTGATGTCAGCTGTTATATAAAATGACTTCAATTCAGGCAACACTGTATATCAAAGACTTTTATATTTCTTTCTGGATTGGAATTAACGATTGTGAAGACTTACTGGTATCGTGACGTGGTTGTCGAGCTCGCTTATAGGGATAACCTGCCCGAGCCGTTTTGTCTAAAATAATTGTTCTTTTAGGTTCTATCATGTCAGGCTGGTCGGTTCGTCATAATACGACTGATTCTTTAAATCTGGGGAGCAGATAATTGTTTAACTATAGATTATGTTATCTTTTGTAATTCTCGCTAAAGTTTGTAGCAACTTGAGACTGGGTCTCATTGATTTGGGCTATTACTTTCCATCAGTTAGGTTCAAGATTATTTTGACTACTTCACTTTAATCCTAACGAATAGGATCAGTAGACATTAAAAAAGTGTTACCCATAACTTCATACCAAGTTGTTAACTTAGAAATTTAGTTGAATTTTTGAGTTTTCTAAATACCTACAAAATGTAAAAATATCCAGTTATGTTTCATTTATGATTATCATTCTGTGTCCTAAAATATTTTGTGTGAGATTTTTAGTTCGGTTAACCAAAAACTACTTTTCCTGTCGTGAATGTTATTATTTTATTCTTTTATCCAACTATTATACTCCTTTCAATATTTATCTGTATTTTTAACTGTAACAACAATTTGTTCAAGGTAGATTATGGTTTTGCCTTACATTTTACGTTTTAATGTATTTGTCATGGTTCCTGTTTTACTTTTTTTAATTCATTTCATTTCACAATACGTTAGACACCGCGAATGAGCTGTGCACGACCAGCTTTCATGTCTCCTTATCGAGGAGCCGACGGACATCATCACAACCTCCATCATCATCATCAACAACAACAACATCAACCTCATAGTCAAGCCAATCATTTGCTCAATGGATCATTAAATAATTCAGGAAATATCAGTAATTACACTTCTGGTTCTCATTCCACTTCTGTAACTAACAAGAATAGTAGTAATAATAATCTTTGTTCCTCTGTAAATGGTTCAGTTGCTCCTACACGTGTTCGCCCTTCAGTTAATGAACAAGATGGTAGCTTAAGTATGTTTGCATAGTATATTTATTATCAATACTATTTGATCTTAGTAAACAGTATAAACTTGATGGATAATTGATATGTTTTATAAATATTTTCTTTCAGTTATTGAAGCTCAAGAATGGCGGGATATGAATAATACAGGTTCATCAGAACATACTTGTGACTTTTGCCTTGGTGATGAAAGTTTGAATAAAAAGACTGGGCGACCAGAAGATATGTTAAGATGTTCAGACTGTGGACGTTTTGCACATTTTTCTTGTTTACAGTTTACACCAAATATGATAACTTCTGTACATACTTACCGGTGGCAGTGTATTGAATGTAAAACATGTTGGCTTTGTGGCACTTCAGAAAATGATGTAAGTAATTAGTTTTCATGTTGTAGTATTTTAATGCATAACCCGTCAATCTACTTAATAGAAGTCGTTTATTGAACATAAAGTTGATCATTTTTCTTTCTAATACATCAACCTTTCTACAGGTTATCGATGGTCATTTATTAGACTATCCTGTTAGATGCCTTATTACCATACTAACTGTCATAAGCAAAACTGGAAAACTGAAGTATTCACACTTTTCCCATTACATGATTGTATTTACTGTGTATATCCTATAATTTACATCAAATGTATTCTTTCATGCATTTATGAATGTAATTATATAAATTATAATAAAAATGACTTGCGAATTGAAACTTTCACAGTCTAAACAATTTTGAAAGCAAAAATCAATTCATCGGAAAACAAAAGTAAAATCAATGATATGGAGAGTAGTGAAAAGATATTAAATTTGAATGCAACTGGAGAACTGTTGAGCTTTAATGGAAAGCTTGCAATAAACTCTGATCCATGCACGGGTTCTTGTGCAAAAAGTATTCAGTAGTTTGATGTAGTTCATAGGTCGGTCTACGGATTTAATCTCTGTCTTAGCTCTTTCTTAGTTAGATCTGATCCAAGATGTCTAAATCGGTAGCTTGGTGCAATTCTACAAAGTTGCTGGTTAACAGTTCCGATAGCATGGATAGATTTAGTCCGTTTTGTCACTTTAATAAATTGACTGTAGTTCATCAAGACTAGGAGGATTGTATCGTATGAACTGAAGTCATTATTGTTGATTATTTCAGTGAAATTTGAACACATTTGAAGATTACTGTAGACATAAATGCAAAGAAACAGTGTTTGTAGAGTCAAAGATTTTATTTTTAGATTTTTCTAAGAAATAATTTTAGTTTTCAATTATATTATTGTTGGGGACGTTAGATTTTCAGAACTCACTTGACAAATGTCCTAATTTTTGGATTTTATGCTTTCGAGCATGGGCTGATCAGCTGACCTTGAGATTACATTTGTCACCAGGAAAATCCTTTACTGTCATTGGTTGATGTGTTATTTTAGTACGCTATTTTTGTGGCTCTCTCAAGGACGTTTCTATCATGTACAAGTAAACTCGATTTGTTTGCTTGTCGACCTCATATTTTCTGGTTGCTTATAGAATACACTTTCTACGCCATATCAAGACTTTTGATATTGTTAGCAGGGCTCTGGGACGCTCGGGTTAGAGTAGCCTATGGTGTCACTGGATCATTTGTCTCCGCTCTCGTTTACCAACTAAGGTGAATTCGTAATAGCACTTAAGCATATAAACTGGCGGCAAGCAATAACAAATCTGGTAGAAAAAAATTTTTATGCATGATTAAAGTAGCGTATAAAGTTAGTTACTGTTTAAAAAAGAATATCATCTGTGACTGATTGTTTTCAGAAGAAATTTATCTAATTTAATCATCATTATATTATCCATTTACAATCAATGATAATCTTATTTTATAAATATGAATATTTCATTTTTATTTATACTATTTAGGAACAAATGCTTTTTTGTGACGATTGTGATCGTGGTTATCATATGTACTGTTTAAATCCACCTTTGTCCGAGCCACCAGAAGGTAGTTGGAGTTGTAAACTATGCGTAGATCGATTTCAAGCATCAGCTGCTTCTTTTTCTACCTCTCTTGGTAACGTTAATTCAACAAAAAAATCAGACTCTTGTATTGGTAGATTAAATAATAGTAATAATAATAATAATAATAATAATAATAATAATCATAATAGTATTAGTAATAATAATAAACATGATACAAACATTTGTGAATCAAAATTGAATGTGCCTTGTTCAACTGTGGTTAGTAATGCTGTACCTGTTTTTCAACCAACAACTTCATTGACACCATCATCATCAATATCATCGTCTTCTTCTACTTCTTCTTCTTCTTCGACACTGTTTCAACCGTCTACACATCTTCAAAAAATATTAATCAATCATGTCTATCCAACTGTTTCATAATATGAATGACACTGTGTGTGTGTGTGTGTGTATGAGTATATGAGTGAGAGTGTGTATATCTCTATAATTTCCAAGACATTATTATTGTTATGATTAATATAATGGACATTCACATTGTATCATTATTATTATTATTATTATTATTGAATAATGTTAAATGATTTATAAATAACTTTTAGGATTTTAACAATTCATTCTCTTCTAATTTGTTCCTATTTTTTCTCCTGGTTCTTTCTTCAGTCTTATATGTGTTACAATTGAGAGAAATTTACCTTTATGTTGTTTTTGTAGGTATCTATGTGTGTGTGTGTGTGTGTGTATTCCCTCTTCTCTTAAATGTATGAATTTTTTTCCTTCGAATTCAATTACTGCAGGGTTAACTGATTGTAAGTAATGTTATATATATATATATATATATATATATATATATATATATACAAACGTATCTATTAAATGAAATGGAAGAAAGTGAACAAACTAACAAGTGACTGATTCATTTATTTTCAATGTATATTATTTATCTGTTTCAAGCAATGTATTACTTCACTGTTATTATTATTATTATTATTATTACCCTTCTTATATGTTAATTTTCCTTCTTAAAGTCAAGATAAACGTACTTAATGTTAACATGAAATTTTCAGAAATACAAATTAACTAACTAGCTCTAGTGACCGTTATTTTTTGTTTATCATTAGATATATAAATATATAAATCTGTATATGCATAAATTTGATCACTTCTTTTCATCTCAATATACTCTTTTATGTCTTAATCAATCTTGAATAGTTACCAGTTTATATCTATCTATATATATATATATAATTTTGCTCCAACCATCTGCCGTTTTATTATTATTATTATTATTATTATTATTATTATTATTATGATTATCATAACTGTCACGTCAGGATAAAGTATCGGGGATAAAGGTTGATTTGAATTTCACAATACGCTTCTTACTCTAATGTTTAATACTATTTTTGTATTACTTTCCTCATACATACATATATATATGCATATATCTTTGTTTTTTTAATGAACCAGCTAATCTCTTAACAACAATAGCCCACCTCCATTTTTCTACTACACTATGATTCTCACCTGTCGATGGTTGTTTTCATTCTGGTTCTGGGTGGTGTTCCATTGTGTATTTAAGTGTGTGTACATGTGTATGTTTATTTTTGCAATCAAGCTTTTATTTAATTATTCTTATTATGTTTTTGTTTTTTTTTCTTTTTCGGTACATTTATGTAATATGTATGAAGGTGTTTGTTCAACCTTTCCTTTATCTATCAATGTTTCAAAAACAAAATAATCGAGTAGTAGTTCACTCTTCTATATATATTACAACAAAAATTTGTCAAAGCATTTTGTTTTTTTCTTCTTTGAATAATTGATAGTAGTTTTGCTACAATTTATTCAGAATATTATTGTTTTTATCAAATTTATTGTATTATTTATCATGATTATTATTCATGCTTCAACTACTACCACCACTACTACTACTACTAACATGAAGCTAGTATTATATGTATTTTTTCTGTGTGTGTGTGTGTGTGTATGTGCGTGTAACGAATTTTCCGGCCTTTTTTAAAAACTAAAAATGATAGTATATATACATATATATATATATTTTGTACAATGGATATTTATAAACAACATAACTACCACAGCGTGTTAATTGTTCTGATGTTTTATTTACTTTATATCCATTATCGTTCATAATACGCATAGAAATTTATTAGTAGTAGTAACCAGTCAGTCACTTATTGGTATGGTTGTAGTTTTGTTATTGTGTCAAGGGGTGTGAAGTGTAACTAGTTATTGACTGAATTTTGAACACCATTCATTGATATATGTGGATCTTATGCAGATTGTTTTGATACAGGTATGTTATGAGATTTTATTGAATAAATGGATTTCAGCTAGCAGGGGAATTTGTAACACATGTTTTATGATGTTTTGGACACACTAGCCTTATGTGCATGCGTTCCTGTGTTGAAGTCCACACTGGGACTCGAACCCAATACCTCTCACTTCAAATACCGGATGCATTACCAATAGAACTACTAGTTTCAGTTAGCCACTCACTTATGAAATAAATAAAAATTCGATTTCATTTGTAAGGGTTCGAATTATCTCGTTGTTGGCATCCTTGATTGAGTTTCGATCAGCCTTTGTTTGGTGTATGTAACGGTAGTTCATTTCTGCTAGACAGAGATGAAACTATGCAAAAATTCACACCAGTCGTGCTAGCTGTACTCACCACTGGGTTATCAAAAGTAATTGCCTATAAGAGATGTTAAAAAACTAAATTCATCAGTTGATATAAATAAAAATATATTAATAAAATATCTAGAGTTTAGTGGAGTGATAGCGAATTCATTTGGTGCATTATGCTGATAAGTTTTTAAACAAACATTGCAGATTACGTACTCGACAACTACTTTTGTCTCAAGTATATCCGCCAACAACGTATCTCGAAGTGATACATACTGACTCAATCGATACTGTTGTACTCAGTTTGCGTAACATATAAACTATCTACCGTGAACTGCGTTGCTATATTCTCATGCCTTCAAATGTGTATTTTCTTGACTTGGTGATCTTCCCTCACACGAACAATGTTACGAAGAGGTTCGTATTCTTTTGCGCTAAAAATCGTTAGAGTGATGAAATGATTGCCCTTCAATTTATTTGCGACAGTTGAAATTTATCAGTTGATTAGCATCAGATATTGGGCGATATTACGTAGGTCAAATTAGTGTTTAGAATTGATTATGTATGTATGTATCTTAACGGTCCTTTCATTTGTATTGCATTAAGTACTTATATTCATACTACAAATTCATATGCATAGAATGATATGTTAATTAATTCATTCTTGATTATTACTTGCTTAGGCCTGTTACGCCTAATGGATCATAGGCCATTGATTGGGCTTTCCTTTCCAATTCTACCCAATCGCTACTCATTATTTTCACGTTTGCTTCCGATTCTCAGCCTAATGTGTGTTCTTTGATCTTCCTCTTCTTCTCTGACATTGAGGATTCCAAGTGGGGACTTGTCTTGTGACACAGTTGGGTGATTTTCACAATGTATCCTATCCACCTGCAGCGTTTTTTCCAATTACTTCCTCAGCAAAAATTTGGTTTGTTCTCTTCCACAGTAGGTTGTTACAAATGGTCTAGCCAACGGATCCGGAGTATCTTGCATAGACAACTTAATAAACACCTGCATCTCTTTCGGATCATACTTTCTAGTTCGCCAACTTCTCGCTCCGTACACTAAGACTGTTTTGGTATTTGTACTGAAAGTTGTAACTTTGGTGTTGGTTGACAGACAGTTGTTTTTAGTTTCAGATGTTCTCCAGTTGTAGAAATTCTGTACTTACTTTGCTAGTCCGTTTCTTCACATCTGCATCAGATCCACCTTGTTTATCAAGGTATGCAAACGTTTTCAAATCTTCCAACGCTTCTACGTTTTATGTGATTCGGTTGGTGTATGGGTTGTATATAATGATCTTATTTTTTCCTTTGTGTATATTAAAATCTACTACTGCAGAGGCTGTTGCCATGCTGGCTGTCTTGTTCTGCATTTGTTACTGTGTATGGGATGTTAGGGCTAGATCATCTGCGAAGTCCGAATTGTTTAGCTGGATCTGAGCTATCCACTGTATTTCGTGCTTCCGCTGAGATGTTGAGGTCCTCATAATCCAGTCAATTAACAGGAGGAAAAGAAAGGATGAGTGTAAGCAACCTTGCCTGACACTGGTCTTCACTCGGAACGAGTCTATGAACTGTCCTCCATACATGATCCTACAGTTTAATCCATTACAATAATTCCTTATCATGTTGATTATCTTTTCAGGCAGACTATGATATCATCCTGTCCACGTTTTCGAATGTTTTCTCATAGTCAAGGCAGCTGATGTATGGTGGTGAGTTTCATTTAATTGACTGTAATATAATGATTCGCGGTTTCGTTATTTGCTTGGTACATGAAGGGTATCTTGAGTAGACAACTTTTAATAAACAGGCGTATAAATGTTTCTGCTCCTGGAGCGCTACTAGGCTCACTGAAGGTCCACAGACTGGATAAAGGATCGAGGCTGGGCGTGGGGTTAGATAACCCATCCTGTTTTAGATAAATTTGCTCAAAACAGCTTAGCCAGATTAAAAAACACGTTGAGGAATCTTAAAAATAAGTAAATCGTGTTTCAAAGCTTCGTGTCAATCATCATCCAAACTGAGATGTATTTTTCCGAGATTTTCATGATAATTGAACGGAGTGTAATAATACATTGCATATAAATGGTTCAAACTTGTTCGCATCAACAAGAAATAGTTCATTCACGTCGTTTTTCCTAGACAGACAAGGTTAAACAGGTTAGAAGTAACATCTTTAGCTCTAACGCAGAGCTTTGAATGTAAGTGGAACATTTTTACATATCATTTTGCGAACTCTTTTGATGGCATTGTCTGACATACAGTATACCGAACCTTTATCTCTCAAACTTACATCTGGATAGTGGCGCTAACAGATTAGCTAGTGATAATAACAAAACCTCCATGACTTACAAAACGATGATATGGCTTTCTTATATGGTATGTTATAACCGTACAGCTAGTTCATTGTATATGTATATAAAGAATTGTCGATGTATCACAGCATAAAAGTTTATTCATGCTTGGTAAGTAAAGCAACTGACTAAATGATTATCTGTATATTTATTTAAATTTCTTATGATTATCGAGTTGACTAAGTTGTGCATGTAAAAGCTTATTTAATCTACATACTATTTGCAATCTAAGTCGGCCATTATTTTATTTTACCTTATTCGATAGAGTCTGGTTTCTGTTCTTTGATTATTGCTGACTAATATCTTTCGCTAATTATCATGATGTTCTAGCTTAAGAAAGAATTTTGTACCTGATTTACTTAATCTGTACAGTATTTATAAGTGATTTATTTCCTAGAAAGAATAGTCTATTTTAAAATAATTAGAAATCTCAATGGTATAATATTATAAATTGTTCATAATTATATATACATAATGATTTTCTATAATTCGATCGTTTTTTAGTTTAAGTATGACTTTTTA